ATATATATATGTACATGTGTCACTGGTTTTGCTCCTCTAGGGAACCCAGCCTAAGACAGAGCATATGAATTAGGGTCTTAGGGGTTTAGAACATCCATTTTGGCTTTCCTTACAGCAAGTATTATATTTCTGTCAGGAAGTACCATTCACTTTACAAACAAAATTAGAAAAAGTTATTTGTTTTCAACTTGAATGTGATGCAAGGTCATATACAGAAAGACTTACATTTCTTACAACTTCCAGAAACCAAACCCATTGCCGTTGAGTCAATTCTGACTCATAGTGACCCTATAGGATAGAGTAGAACTGCCCCACAGGGTTTCCTAGGCTGTAAACTTTACAGAAGCAGACTGCCACATCTTTCTCCTGTGGAGCAGCTGGTGGCTATGAATTACCAATCTTTCGGTTAGCAGCTGAACTGTTAACCACTGGGCCACCAGGGCTCCTTGTCTTACAACTTAATCATTTAAAATTCTCAAATGGAAAATTCATCTGTGGTATTTCAAAAGGGAAAGAGAGACACAGAGAGAGAGAGAGAGTAAATTCTGAGGGAGGAGAGGTGGAGAAAAGGCAAACGAGATACTGGTTAAACAAATATCTTTGCATCCAGTGATCAACACAAACCTTGTCGGCCCTATCCTCTCTCTCCTAGGTTAACCTCTAAAAGAAACAGGTGTAAGCCCTGAAAGTGCTTCCTGGGTATCATAATAAGCATGTTTTAGAAATGACCTTTTCCAGTATTGCTGCCATTCATTACACTGTGAGCAGAGTGCAAAGAACCCAGTAACTTGCAACTTCAAAAACACCAACGGACCCTCATATCAATAATCTGCCATAGTTAGTTCAGATGAGGAAACACAAATTGAATAACAATACAAAAGTTTTCCAGAAGCCAAGAAGCTGGCCTCTGTTCAGCTTGACCCAGTAAACAATACATTTTTTAGCATTTTTACCTAGTTCAACTTCAGTTTATAGCAAGGAATCAAACTGTGTAATGAAAATTCATACCACCTCCATGAAACACCAGAATCCTCCACTGGGGAAAAAAAAAGCCACGTTGAATTCATATGAATATTTTGCAATACCTCTAGCATTACACAATTGTAACTCTGAATCTTCCGAAGCTTGCTTCAGGTTGGAGCTCATATAGAAAGTCAGGCTTTAAATGATGTGAGGCTGGGGAAGAAAAAAGAAAAACCAACAATCTGGAAAAGCAACCATTCAACTCACCTCCCTGCCTCAAACGTGAACCACGTGGCATCACGTCCATACCGCCGCAGGGCGCTTAGCGGCCACGAGATGAGTTTAACTCTGGGATTCTGGATGTCCCAAAGACAGATGTGCTCATATGTAATCTGCAAGGCACATTCGCCATGTACATCTAAGTTAGGAGATGGCATCAAATACACATTGAATCTCTCTGGGAGAAAAACAAAAGGTTAGTCTAAAATCCCCAGGAATAAAACATCAAAGACACTGTAGGAAAACACAAGCATTTAAAAACAATTCAGGCTCACATCCTTCTCTACCTTGTGGTTGAATGGACAGGAACGTCAACCTTTCTCATAAATTACCAGTCCCAGAAAATGAGTTTTTAAACGCAGCCCATATTAAAGAACGTCATAATGACACAGTCTGGCTGTTAATGCACTAAACGCTATTTGCACATCCAAAGACTGTTTTTAGAATCTTTCAATTTGCATAAGAAAAAAAAACTGTATGTCAATAAAAGACAAAAGCAGTAAAACTATGAAAAGCAATGTTTTTTTCTGCCAAGCCCAAGTTAATAACACCCGCACTATGTGCTCACAAAAAATGCAGGTGCAAAATGATTGTCTCGTGGTTTGATGATATTAAAGTTGTATTGATCAACCTATAATTTTCATAACTGAAAAAAAAAATTATATCCCAAATTATTTAAATAAGACTTTACACGAATACAATGCACTTAACTGACCAACGGTTGGGAAAAATGCTAATGGATATATTTGAATTAGTTGTAACAAAGGGCCTTCGGTAGTCAAATACTGGGAAGAAATATTCATTTACTTATCTGGATGATTTGTTAAAATTTAACCAAGATTTCTCTAAATAAACTGCTTGGCTGATGACTGCAACCAAATATTTATCCCCATACATACAGTCATGGGGATACATTTGTAGAAAATTCGTTGATTTAAGAAGTTAAAGAGTTAAAAATCTTTAAGTGAAATAGGAACAAAAATATTATTACTATAGCAAACACATTTCCACCTACCCATCATTACGGTAGATTGACTACCTCTAACAAAATAGTGTTTCATTAAAATTTAATGTTAGTGGTATTCTAAATTAATTGTTTTGATAATAAGAGAATTATATTAGAATATTCAAATATTTTAGTGGAATTTAATAAATAGAGGTGTCAAGATTATGTTCATGAAATGTATTCATGCATCTACTCTTCAAAATTTCTAAATTACTTCAAATGCCCACTAACTAAATATTTGCTGCTTTCTAGTAACTATTACTTTAAAAGTATATTTCTAAAGGACTAAATTTCTGAACCAAGTAAGAAAGATTGTCTTACTTACGTAAAGCGTAAAAGAGACCTTTACTAATTTCTTTGCTTAGAAGTTCTATAACTCTGCCTAGCTCAAGAATAACAACCATTTTAGTTACAATTACTTGAAGTTACACAAATGAATATTTTTAAAGTGCCTTAAAGACAGAGTGGAGTTTCATAAAAATCCTTAAAACCCGTTGCCAGCAAGTTGATTTTGACTCATAGTGACCCTATTGGACAGAGTAGAACTGCCCCATAGGGTTTTCAAGGAGCAGACGGTGGATTGGAACTGCTGACCTTTTAGTTAACAGTCGAGCTCTTAACCACTGGGCCACCAGGACTTAGTAGTTACATACCAGATATTTTTATTCCCATTTGACAATAGAGAAAACTAAGGCACAGAAAATGGACATGACAAAGGTAACCCCTAGACACAGCTATTTCTTGAATTCAGTTTGTAACACTAGCAGGATGCCAGTCTACAGATATAAATTGTGGAAATAAATGCTGATCTGTGCCCTCTAGGTTAAAAAAAAAATCCAAATCTGTCATCTTTTCTTCTTTATGTTTGACTTCATAGGCATCTGTCTGTGAACACTATGGGTGTGCCCTCTGTGCCCAGGGACACCAGGATGCAGTGAACTATAGGGGGAGGAGCTGATGGCTTGGATGTATGACCTTGGTTAATGACTTAACCTCTCTGTAGCTCCATTTCACAGTCTACAAAGAACCCCTCAGAATTAGCCAGCACTTCTAGGTCACGGTCAGTAACCTTTCCGTGGAGACGGATTATGGCAGATATGGTGCATCCAAATAGTCACAGGCTATAAATGTGTCATGAAGACATAGTTTCAACTGGGAGGGAAAGCATTTTTTACTAAAAATTGGAGTGTGCTCCCAGTACAATTCCACCTCTGCCGTGTTCATAATCAAGCCAGATGACCCCATAGACCCTTTGGTTGTGATATGTCCTCATTGGTCAAGTCAACTGGCTGAAGCTGAACTCAGTGATCCAATCTACCCTGTCAAAAGGCTCAGCTCTTTGGAGAGGAAGAAATGATTCCTCACCTTCAGGCTCATGCTGTAAAGGAACACTGATGTCTGCAAAGTGTACAAGAATATTTTGGTCATTGTTATTTAAGAAGATTTATTCCCAGGTTGAGGGTTTAGCTCAAATCATTAGCTCAAGTGTTTGGGTGAAAAAAAGAAATTGCCGATTTAAGTAGGTTTAGACTTTCAGAGCCATTCATGAAGTTTGGATTCTATTAAAAGCACTGGGAAGCTTTCAATAAAATTTTGAATGAAAAAGGCAAGGAAAAAAAATTATACTGTTGAGGAAAGGAGTTTTAATTCTCCTGGAAACCAGGTGTTTGGATTCCAACAAGGCTGAGGTGACCTACTGGAGCTATCTTTGAACCTTGAGAAAATTGGTTTCTTAAAAGTCACCTTTAAGTCAAACAATAGTCTAGACTTGGACATTGTACTCTTTTATAGAATTATCTATGTGTAGTTTTGACAACAGAAATTCCAAAGGTCAGACTAGAAGCTGTGTTTTAGGGTGAATTGTTGTTATGTAAACACTATTCTGGCCCCATTTCCATGGCAATGTATAATTACTAGTGATAAGCTGCAGTATAAGAATCTGTAAAAAATGTTTCTTCTTTGGAACTTTTTTTACTTTCTAGTTGGAAATATTACCCTGATTTGCAAATCATATATTAAATAAACTTCAAACAATTTCTATTATTGGCTTAATATGATTTTTGTTTTAACACTGTAAAATCTACATACAGTACATAAAGGGCCAAGGGTACAGCCTGAAATTGAATACTAACTAGCTATTGAAATAGGAGCAAGGTCCTTATCTCCTCTAAGCTTCAGTTTCCTCATCTGTAAAATGGGGGATGTTACAGTACTTACATCATAGGGCTGTTGTGAAAACTAAAGAATCTAGCAGAGGTAAGGAGCCCTGGTGGTTAAGAGCTATAGTGAGCTACGGCCGCTAACCAAAAGGCTAGCAGTTTGAAACCACCAGCTGCAATTTGGAAGCCCTATGGGGAAGTTCTACTCTGTCCTATAGGGTTGCTATGAGTCAAAATTAGCTCAATGGCAACGGGTTAGTTTTAGTTAGCAGTGAGGTAAAGTGTCTACCACAGGAACTGGCACACAGCAGCTTCCTCAAAATTCTAGTTGATATCATTAATGTACAACTATCCATATTTTACATTGAAAAAATATTAGGAAAATAAATTTAACAAAATGTTATCACAGCTTGTGGGTGAGATTAAAGATTAGATTTCATTCTTTCCTTATATATTTTTATAACTTCAAAAATTCTACATAATGAAGATGTCTTATATTTTATCAAATGCAGGGAGGCAAAAACAGTTTAAAAGAAAAAATAAAGAGAGAATTTTCTTTACATACCACTCTGTTCTCTCTCCACACCAGTGGCCAGTAAGTCAGGCTCTCCGAGGCTGATGTCATTGATCCGCGTCCCTATGCACTCCATCTGGAGTACTTTGCACCATTCATCAGCCTCAAGATCTGCGGAAATGGCCAGAATATTAGCTTGTACGCACAGCACCCACTTGAAAGCGAAGTCAAAAGCTCCCACTGCCTCCGACAAACCTGATTCACAAGCAAAGGTCTTAGAGGTATCATCATTGAAATAAATCCCTATGGCATGTTTCTTGGTGCTCTTCGGCAATCGCGCAACGTTCTTCACATTGTTGAGTTCCGTAACCTGAAAAACAAAGAATAAGAAGTTTTTTGATCACGCTCCCGCAAGGAAATGCTACCCATCAGCAGCACGGAATGAAGGCGAGATGCAGGAGGGAAAGTGCACCACAGAAGAACACAACTTGACAGAAATGTGTCTCTGTATCTGAAAGTTAGGAATTATTTAGGTCCATTCAGTGTTATCCTTCACACACAGCAAGGAATACTGACAAATTACGTTTCCTTATTCAATTTTCTAAAGCATATTAAGAGGCACAGACTCAAAACTTCATGATGTTATTGTTGTTGGGTGCCATCGAGTCGATTCTGACGAAGAGCAACCCCATGTGACACAGTAGAACTGCCCCATAGGATTTTCTTGCTGTAATCTTTACAGAAGCAGATCACCAGGTCTTTCTTCCACAGAGCTGCTGGGTGGGTTCGAACCGCCAACCTTTCTGTTAGCAGCTAATCACCTAACCGGTACATCACCAGGGCTCCTTCAGCCTACTCTAAAAGCTTCCAATACTCCATCACTTCAGAGTAATCTCAATGTAAATATGTTAAACATTAACCCTGAGGAACAGAGGGAGGGGAGGTTCAACTCATGACCAAATTGTCTCAGTCTCTGCCCATCAGGAATGGAGTCCAGAAGTTGCAAAACTGGTCCCTTATTCTGGGTCCAAGTCATAGACTTCTAACACAGAGTCCGTAGGAAATTTCATTTGTAAAATGCTTTCTCCTTCCTCTCTGACTTAGTCCTAGCTTGTCAATGGTTATGGCACTTCTGCTTTAGAGTGTGGGAATGTTGGGTGGGACCAACTTCTTCAAAGAAGACAGGTCCCCATTAGGCTTTCTCTTCTCTCTCCCACAGCTCCTTGGTCCCTGTAACACTTCTGCAAACCAATCCCCTCTGATAAAGAGTGTAGGCTCTTTGTTGGTTTCTGAGCTGGCTGGCCTTCATTCAATTAACTTTGAATTCTCTGCTGCATTCGAGGCCAGTGGTGGTTGGGCCTTGCATGAGGGATGGCTTAGGTGGCTTCAGGGTAGAGTATTTACAAGATAAATAGGCCTTTCACACTGACAAGTTTAACCTCCCTGCAGTATAGCTCTTTTGTGCTATTATACCAAAAAAATGGGCCTCCCATCAATCTTTGCCCTTCAGTTATGTTGTAAGATTTCTCCCATCTATTTTTCTAAATTCAATAAATGTCGGACTCAAGAAGTAGGCAGGAGCAAAATGAGTATCCTCCGTGCACAAGTTAATCTGATTACTTCATTTCCTTGCTTCTTCCATCGGCTCTTTGTACAGTATTAAATGTAAATTTCTCAGCATGAAATATCATACCCAGGCTCCTCGAAGCTGGTCAAACCAATATCTCAGCAACTCCACATCACATATCTTATACTCTAATGACACCATGAGCCTCAGAGTTCACCAGATGCAAAAGCTGTTTACTTTTTTTAATTTATTTTGTTTGTTTATTTTGTGTGACACCACCTTAATACAAGTCGCTAGCATCTTGCTGTAGCTACTTATTGGTCTCTCCACTTGCAACCTAATTCCCTTTAATACACTGTCCACACATGAGCCAGAATGATCGGTTCAAAATGCAGATCTGAGTCCAGCATTTTTACACATAAACAGACACTTCCATGACTTCCTATTGCACTTGGGACAAAAGTCTAAATTCTTTGAATGACCTCCAAAGCCCTCTGTGTCCTTCCCCATAGCTACCTTGCCAGCCTCCTCCCTGCCTCTCTTGCCCATGTTTCCTATGTCCCAGCCACAGTGGCCTTTGTTCAGTTTCCAGAAGGCACCATGATCCTCCTGGCACACAGCCTTCTCTGCTCTCTCCTTATGCAGGACAACACGTCTGCCCGACCATGCCATAACTGTAAGACAACACTCCACATTTGCAAGGTGGTCACAGGTTGTCCCTGATAATTAGATAGCCAGGAGGCCATTAGAGAAAGGGCACCAGTAACTAGTACGGATTGCTTCATAAATATCATGTCCTTCCGTTCGGAGCCTGAACACATAAAAAGTAGCTTTTATTGCTTACAGGAATCAGACAGCAGACAACTGGAAAAGTTCCATCCCAAGCAGTCCCCCATCAAAAACTGTCTGGGCATAATACATGGCATAAACAGAATACAAACCATAACTAACAATACACAAACACCAGAAGATAAGCTAGATAACTGGGATCTTCTAAAAATTAAACGCGAACGCTCTTCAAAAGACTTCACCAAAAGAGTAAAAAGAGAACCTACAGACTGGGAAATAATTTTTGGCTATGACATATCCAGCAAAGGTTTAGTCTCTAAAATCTATAGGAAAATCCAACACTTCTACAACAAAAAGACAAATAATTCAATTAAAAAATGGGCAAAGGATATGAACAGACACTTAACCGAAGAAGACATTCAGGTGGCTAACAGACACATGAGGAAATGCTCGTTATCACTAGCCATCAGAGAAATGCAAATCAAAATTACCAAGAGATACCATCTCACCCCAGCATTACTGTCACGAATCAAAAAAAACAGAAAATAACAAGTGTTAGAGAGGCCGTGGGAAGATTGGAACTCTTATGCACTGCTGGTGGGAATGCGAAATGGTGCAACCATTTTGGAAAATGATATGGCGTTTCCTTAAAAAACTAGGAAAAGAAATACCATACAGTCCAGCAATCCCACTCCTAGGAATATATCCTAGAGAAATAAGAGCCATCACACGAATAGACATATGCACACTCATGTTCGTTGAAGCATTACTCACAATAGCAAAACGATGGAAACAACCTAGATGCCCATCAACAGACGAATGGATAAACAAACTATGGTCCATATACACAATGGGGTATTACACAGTGATAAAGAATGATGAATCTGAGAAACATCTCACAACATGGATGAATCTGGAGGGTATTATGCTGAGTGAAATAAGTCAATCACAAAAGGACAAATAGTGTATGAGATCACTACTATGAAAACCTGATGAAAAGGTTTACACACAGAAAGAAACAATCTTTGATGGTTATGAGGGAAGGGAGAGGTGACAAGGGAAAAACACTAACTAGACAATAGATTAGTGGTAACTTTGGTGAAGGGTAAGACAGTACACAATTCTGGGGAAGTCAGCACAACTCGACCAAGGGAAGGTACTGAAGTCACTTCTGAGGTTCACCCTTCAGCCAAAATATTAGACAAGTCCATAAAACAAACAATAATACACATAGCTCAGACATGTATACGAAACTAAATGGGCACACCAGTCCAGGGGCAAGGACGAGAAGGCAGAAGGGGACAGGAGAGCTGGTCGAATGGAAATGGGAACCCAAGGTAGTGAAGGGGGGAGTGTGGACACGCGGTGTTGGCAACCGATGTTAGTAAACAATATGTGTATTCACTGTTTAATGAGAAACCGATTTGCCCTGTAAACCTTCATCTAAAGCACAATTTAAAAAAAAAAAACCTGTCTGGGCAGAGATGCCGACCCTTCCTTGCACACCCCGCTTTATGACGACCCTTCCTTGCACACCC